TGAAGCTAGCCTGGTCTACATGTTAGTTCTAGTCCAGACAGGACTACATAGTGAGAACCTGTCTCAAGAAAAAAAAAAAAAAAGTGATGTTTATCTTCCCTCCAAGTTCCTTTGTGTCACACAACAGTTGTCTGTCCACCTAAACAGCTCACAGAATTGTTTCATGTAGCTGCAAAAAATGACAGAGATGACATCATCCTCCTGCTCTTTCTTGACTTCTTTTCAGTCCTCATTCCATCTCGTGAGTCACCTGCTGTGGGCTGTGGGAAGTGACTCATGTGTTTGGCTGCCGAAGCCCCGCGTATTTTCTCCATCCCCGGCTAATGAGGACTGGCTTTGTTTCTAGTCCCTCACTAAGAAGCCTGGTGAGGCTTCTTATATGCTGGTGAGTGCGGGCATGGCCTGGCTGGCTCTCGGGGAAGCCGTTGTCTGCGTTTGTTAGGTCACACAGAACTATTTGCCAGACAGTTGTATCATCACCTCTCCCTGGCCATGAATGGAAGGCCCTGTGTATCAGACTCCGAGTAATGCCCTACAAGCTTTAGCTCCTGGCCGATCTGATAAGGTGTCCGTGGTAAGCCTGGTGAGCCGTTGTGGTTTTATTTGCATTTTTCTGCCTGCTGAGAGCTCATGCTCTTCACCTTCTCTGTGGCCCTCATTTGCTCTCCCCAACCGTCTCCACTTCCCTATGAGTTCCTGAAATGTGGTTAGTGATTAGTCCGATTATTCTAGTTGATCCCATCCGCTGCCCTGGGGCCTGGTAGATAAAGGCTCCAATAGGTCCCCATACAATACTCACACCCAACTTCTGCAATGGCCTTTGACCCCCACAGTATCAGAATGGCAAGGCAACCTGCCCAAGGACACACAGCTGGGACAGAGCAGCCTTCAGGCCTTCTGTTTCCTACTCTGAGGGTATGCAGAAGTTTTTGGAAAGCCTTTCTTAAGAGCTTCATGTGCATCGTGGGAGAGGAGTCAGGGCAAAGAAGCCAGAGGGACAGGAAAACCCCTTTGAGTGCCAAGAGTGTAGGGAGGAAGTGATGGGGATGCCCTCAGCGCAGAGGTCACTGTTTCCTTGGTGCAGCAGCCACAGGTGTGTCCTCAGACCACAGAGCAAGAGTGTGAAGGACCCTCAGTATAGATACAGCCAGTATCTCCATTCGGTGCTGGCCCATCTTCAACACCTCTGACACCCCCATCCCCCACTTTTAAAGATAAACAGAGGTGATCCCCAACTCCTGGAGTATTGGAAAGCAGCGTGACTGGGTTTTGCTTTCTCCCTGCCAGTGGCTTCATCTCACGGCAGCAGGCTGCCTGTCTGGTAAGCTGGTTGTGATTTGTTTAAGAAACTTGTATGTGGGCCCATGAGATGGTTCAGCAGATAAGGGTGCTTCGCTGGATAGGCACCCTTAATATCTGATACCCACACAACGGAAGGAGGTTGTTGAGGGTTGTCCTCTGACCTTCGCATGTGTGCTGTGGGATGTACACACACACACACACACACACACACACACACACACACACACACACAGTCAATGTAGTTAAAACAGAAACATGTAACATCTACCTGTGCCTGAGGCTGTTAAGGTGCTTCGCAAACACCAGGTTAATTTCCCAAGGGCGCTGAGAGAATGGTACCTTAATCACCGGCACTTACAGATGAGGGTCTTGGACTCAAAACAGTTAAGCCACCTGCCTGAGGTCGCACAGCCTGGGTTTGAACTGTGCCAGCTCCCCAGTGCCTCTACCCAGCATGCTGCCCACCACCTCCCGGCTTCACCCTAGTTAGCTGTTGATGGTAATAAGGCACTTTTTTCTTTTGACACATTTACTAGGGTAAAATGATGGTCCACGGCAAAGACAGTAAATAGAGATAGCATTGTGAAGACCCTGAAGGTGATATGTGAGTAACGAAGGTTCTAGAACATTCTAGACCAGCTGGATAGAGTAAATGGACCACAAAGGCACCACATTAAGGATAGGAAAGGCGTGTGGTTCAGGGAGAGAGGGCTCGGCTTGTGCAGAGGCACTGGGGCTGGGGATTTGGGACCGGGTAATTGTGCTGGTTAGTTTTTGTCAACTTGACACAAGCTAGAGTCATTTGGAAAGAGGGAACCACAATTTAGAAAACGTCTACATCAGATTGTCCATAGGCAAACTGTAGGACATTTTATTGATTAGTGATTGATGGGGGAAGGCTTCACCCACTTCAGGTAGTGCCATCCCTGGGCTGGTGGTCCTGGTTCTAAAAGAAAGCAGGCTGAGCAAGCCGTGGGGGAGCAAGCCAGTAACCAGCAGCCCTCCATGGATGGCCTCTGCGTCAGCTCCTGCCTCCAGGTTTTCTCAGTAATGGAGGATTAGTTGAGAGTTGTTAAATGAAACAAACCCTTTCTTCCCATGTTGCTTTTGGCTCATGGTGTTTACCACAGCCACATAAGGCAAATGAGAACAGCGGGCCATTCAGACAGCTGCTGGGGCCAGGCAGAAGTCTGTGTTGCTTACACCTGACACCTACACCCCACTGGCTGTTCTTAGCTGTGAAGTTCGGGGGTAGAGGGTGTCCATTTCCGAGATGGCAACCAAGGCCGGTGGACAGAAAGATCAGAGATCAGCTGGCTGTTAATCCCGGGCCTTCCTCCACTCTGCTGTGCCAGGCCTCTTGGGAAAAAGCAACAGAAATATAACTAACACAGTGTGGGGAGAGGGGTGTTTGGGCTCATGTAAATAAAAGGTCCAGAGGTGGACATCGGCTACCACCTGATCCATGTTCTTAATGTGGCTTGAATCTGAAGTGTCTCCCCCAGGCTCATGTGTTTAAATGCTTGTTCCCATATTGGGGGAGGGGTAGAACCTAAATGAAGGAAGTGGGTCTCTGGGGTGGATCTTTGAGGGTGATACCCAACCTGTTTCCTGCCTTGCTCCCTGATTTCTGGGCCATCACGATAGGAATTGCCTCTGCCACACACTCCTTGTCCCATTGTCTGAGCAGCTCCACTAAACTTTCCCATTGGGACCGGCTGAACCCTCTGAAACCGTGAGCCAAGGTACATCTCTAAGAGATGACCAAGGTGGAGACAGGATTCTGGAAGGTGCCCAGAAAGCATCAGTACCAGATCCCTAGAGAGGAGGCCAGGCCCGCTGCCACTGGCTTCACTGAGCTTGTGTCTTGCTCTATCTTGTCACCGTGGCAGGGCACACTGGGACAAACCAGTGTGCTTGTGTTGGACAGGCCTGGTTCAGTACCTGCTCTGTGGACCACGGAGAGGGCTGCAGTTCAGAAGGCGTGCCATGAGAAGGGCTGCCAGTCCAGGCAGGCAGAGCTGCTGATGTCTGCCTGTGGCTTGTGCACAGCTGTGGTATGCAGCGGGAAAGAAGAGGCTCTGGAAAAAGGACAGAAGGATTTCTATTTTCCCTGTGGCTGAGAGAGGACATGGAGTTCTGCTCTGCTGGGGCTGGGGTCACAGATCTGACACCCTAGAGAGGGGCAGGCTCGGAGCCACCCTCTTGTGGTCAGAGCTCACCTGTATTACCAGGGGGTTATACAGGGTGGGGAGAGGCTTTATTCAGTCTGCTGCCGTAACAAAACGCCCAAGACTGGGAAATGAGAAGAAAGTTTATTCAACTGGAGGGCCTGACTTCTGGAAAGCCCAAGGACATATGCGCCGCCCCAGCATGGTGGAGGGCTGTACAGAGAGGTACAGCAGAAGCAGTAGCTTGGATCACTCTTTCTTTCTTTCCCTCCGTGTCTTCCTCCCTGCTTGTCTTTCTTTGTCAAAGCCAGGAGCAGATACCAGGGACTCACATATGTTTAGGCCAATGCTCAGACACTGAGTTCCGTTCCAGTTAGGTTCTATCCAAAACCACTAATGCCATCACAGGCCCCACCCTCATGACCTCAGCTAATGCTAATTCCCTGTATTCTATTAAAGCATGATTTGGGTGTTCGGTTGGGAGGATACAGTCAGACCATACCGCAGGGATCATGAAGGTAGAGGCCACCCAAGATCAGTGCGACTCCCAGCAGGCTGAACTGACATTTCCCATGATATTTTCTTCTAATAGTGATGTTAGAGCAATGACCATAATTACAATAGTGAGAAGGCTGAAGCAGGAAATTCATGAGGTCGAAGCCAGGCTTGATTACTTAATTAAGACTGCCTCTAGAGGAGAGGGATGGAAAGGGGGAAAGTAGACCCCTCTGGAAAAAGTGTACAACCATGAATATTAATTTTTAGAATGGGGCTGGAGTCAAATGTTTAGGACTATTTGTAGCAAAATAGTAAATAAGTAATTGTGAAAGTGAAACATTTTGGAAGCCCCTTGGGCACGCTGTTTTCACAGTTCTGTTCTAGAAGCTTCTGGACTGTTCTCTAGCTCAGTCAGCCCTGTACATGCTGTGTACCAGAGCCTACACCCAGCATTCTCTGCATGCCCGCCTGCTTGAACTGTCATGAAGCTCTAGGCAGGTCTTCATTGCCTCATTTTATGAGGCCCAGAGACAGCAAGAGGCTGGCCTGGAGCAACACGGCTGGGCATCTGAACCTGGGTCTGACCTGATCTGTGTATGAGCCATCTTCCCTCAAGGCTCTGGTCCCAGCGGTGGAGGAGAGGGCCCACGTGGGGTTCTTAAGTCTGGGGAGGTGGTCTCCCTGGGCTAATACTTCCGTAGGCAAAGGGCAGGAGGAGCCTGGTGTTGTCCACCTATGGTTAATCTTCTGCCCGCTGTGGGCCCTTGTCCATCTCAGACGGTCAGAGACTCCGGCAACTCTGCTTAGTGGCCTGGCTTTCCTAGCGTGCTACTGTAGGCACTAGCCTGGGCTTCCCGAAGAAGGATAGGCTCCCCCTGTGGGTAACTTCATCTTTAATATTCAACAGGGGTCTTCTCTGTGAGCTTTGGACTGGTCCTTTTGATGCGGCAGGGACTCTGGGTGGGGAGGCCACTCAATGCATGGTCTCAGCTGGTTCACTGCACAAACCACACACTTCTCTTGCAGGTCTGGCACACACTATGCCACGGGGCCTGGCTGCTCCTTTACTCCTGCTAATCCTCCAGGGAGGTAAGTCTCAGGCCCATGGCTGAAAGGCCCATCTCCTCCCACAAAGCTGGGTGGGGTGGGGGGGCATATGGTATTATAGGCTCCTAGTCATGGCTGCTGGCCACCAACCTACAATCTACGGCCTCTGTCTACCCGACACCAAAGCTGACTGCCCCATTTTCCATCGACAAGAACCCATGGACCCAAAGAGTTCCAGTAAACAGAAAACTCCGTTCTTCTTTGTGAAAGATTCTCACATGATTCATGAATCCTCAGTAGACTGGAAGAGAAGGGAGGTGGAGGTAGCAGAGCCAGAACCCTGTTAGCAGTCCCTGAGGGAAGGCATCAGAACTGCAGGCCAAGAGTCCTCTTGAATGCACTCTTCCTGAAGCCAAGAGGCCAGGAGCAACACCAACCTCCCCCCCCCCCCAATCAAGAGCCAGGAGAGGAGAGGCTGTGCAGGCGACCCAGGGTGAGGGGAACTTGCCCCTTTGCAGACTCAGCAACATTTGCTCTGGTTTTTACCGAAAGATCCAGTGTTTTAGTTCCCTTACGAAGCAGGCTTGCCTCTTGATTTCCCTTTTTGTTTGCAACACCCTACCCGTTCTGGAAACCCCTTCTCACGCCTTCATGAGGGAGAAGGGTTGGGTAGCAGGCTGGGTGATGGGGTGGGTGGCTGGATGTTAGGTCCCTGTCACACACAGTGAGACTAGAATGTCACCTCCTTCTGCCCCTCCTGAGGAGCCTGGCTGCATTGCCATCAGTTCAGAGAGAACGCAGATCCTGTGACCACCCTGGGGGTGGCTGCCTGACCCTTAGGTCTGCCACTGTCTCATAGCACTGAGACAAAATACCAGGAACAGAGATGCCTGAGCAGGGTGATGGCTTTAGTGAAGTGCTAGTCATTCTAGCATCAGATCCCATGGAAGGGACTGGGCACAGCTGAGTGTCATCCTGTCATCCCAGCATTGGGGAGGTGGAGGCAGATTGCCAGGGACGTGCTGGCCAGGCTACTTAGCCAAACTGGTGAGCTCCAGGCTGGGTTGAGAAAGGCAGAGAAAGACTCCGTCTCCAACTTGCATGTGTACATGCATGGACATGAACCCACATACAGGGTCAAATGTGTATCTTTCACAGTCCCAGGGCTGGGCGCTCAGGACCACAGTCAGTGTGGCGAGCTCTATGGCTGGGAAAGTTCAGCATCTACTTCCAGAGTGCTGCTGGGCCTCTTGTCTTTATGGTGGGAGGCAGGATGGCGGCAGAAATCTGGCCTCTCCAGACACTAATAACACTGCTAGACCCCCTTAGAAGCTTGGTCTGGGGACCTCATTGCCCTTGGAGGCCCCACCTCCAGCTCTGTGGCCTGAGCATCTGAGGGGTTACATACGCTTGGATACATACACCCAAGCTACTGCTGCTAGTTCATTCATTCATTTTTGAGGTTTTGAGACAAGGTTCTGGCATGTAGTCATAATCCTCCTGCCTCAGTTTGCTGCTGTGTCAAGCGGTTACTTTATGCAGCGGCATGTGGCCAGAGACCTGTGTAACCAGCTTAGGCACAGCTGGAGGCCACTTTTAATTCTGGGGCCATGGTCATCTAGTGGGGGGATGCCGCTAGCTGCATCCTGAGCGCTATAGTAACATCAGTGACATTCGTGGGTGCCATCCAGGTGTGGGGTGCTGCCTGGCTTGTTTACCGACTCTGGCCCTGGCAGCCACCTCTCAGCAGTCCATGGGTTCTGCCCTTTCTGTCCCAGTGGCTCGTCCCATTCCAAGCTAGGGCGATAGCTCAGTGGTAGTAACTGCTTATCGAGTGTGTACAAACTCCTGACAGTATACATTGTTTCCTTCCTTTTCTTTCCTCCCTCCCTCCCTCCTGCCATCCCTCCCTCCCTCCCTTCCTTCCATGTGCATGCGCTTCGCATGTGCCAAAGAGGACACCTTGCAGGAGTCAGTTCTCTTCTTCCGCCACGTGCGTTGTAAGGATGGAAATCAATTTCTCAGACTTGGTAACAAGCACCTTCACCGGCCGAGGCGTCCGCTGGCTCGGTATCCATGACTTTTGGTGGAGACTACCTGAGAACTGCGAGAAAGATTCTGGAGCCAGCTTGAAAGACAGTGCTGGGATTCCCTAGCGGCGTCTGCCAAGCATAGGCCCAGAAAGATGCTGTCTGTGGGCACAGCTCAGCAGCCCGGAAAAGCAGTCTATCCCTGGAGCCTTGGTGCTGCCCTCCATACAGCCCAGGCCTAGGCGTAGAATTTAGGTTAGCGCCTAAGAAAAAAGTCTACTGTTTCAGGGGGTTATCAGGCATAAGGCAAGAAGGGAGGAGCCACTGAAACTGAGTCCCCTTTAATAAGGACATTTCTGGTGTGTGGGGAGATACTGCATATAAACTGGCATGGAGTTTTACAGAGAAAAAAAAAAATCAAAATGGCTCTGCTCGTTTGGCCAAACATTTAACAAAGCTTGGGCAATGGCCACATCCCTGTTTTACCGTTTTCTTACGGATGTGTATTGGATGTTGAGCATAGTCCCTCTGCCCTGTCCCCACATGCTTTCCCTTTTCTTGAACCTATTTCAATTACTCCCTTTGTTCCCTTAGACACCTTCCATAGCCACACACATGGCAAGGGGCAATACCTAAAATTCCACATTATTCTGATTTCATAATTAATCAGATACTTTTTCTTTCCCTTTGAGACAGGATCCGCTGCATAGCCCAGGCTGGTCTTGAACTAGCAAATCTACCTGTCTCCATTCCTCAGATGCTTGGGAAGGCAGGTGTGCCTCATGCCTGCTACATCAGTCATTTGGAAAGTGAAACAAATGGCTGGGGTGGTTGGGAGAGGGTGGGGTAAAGGTGGCTCTTCTAGCCAGCCCCTGCTTCGGACCTTGGTCATGGCACAGTCAACTTTTCTGTAAAGCATGAAAGTCTTCCTTACCCTTTCAACATCTCCTCTAACCTCTCCCCCTGACACAACTAATAGGCTCATGACCCGTGCCATTCTCCATGGCCTCAGGGATCTATCTCTTCATCCGCCTATGGGGTGTTCAGAGTGCCCTACCCTGTGAGGGAGAGTAGTTTGGGGACCAAGTATGAGCCCTAGTTCCACATTTGAAGGACCTCATCACCACGATCAGTCTTGAAATGTTGGAACTCACAGAAAGAATTCTAGACGACAAGAGTCCCTGTGTCCCAGGCTCCCACCCCAAGCCTGGGACTGCCCAAACTTGTTCTCAGCCTCAGATGACCTGCCAAGGCCTTTCCGCTGTGTCTCACCCAAAGACGCCTCTCTCTTACCCCTCCAGTTTGGGGCTGCCTGGACCTCACCTGCTATGCTGACTACCTCAATACCATCACCTGTATCCTGGAGACTTGGAGCCCCCACCCCCGCATACTCAATCTCACCTGGTGAGTAGCCATGCCTCTGGGCCCCAAGGAACTGCTCGGAGAAGGTGGCAGGATGTGGAGGAGCTGCCTATTGAGCCCTGGGCAGCTTGGCTACAAGCAAGGACCCGCCCCTTCCACCTGCAATGTCACTCACAGAGACTGTGAGCTGAAAGCCAGGTCCCCTAAGCCCCTCCCAGTCTCATGCTTTGAGTTACCGCCCTGCCCTGGGCACTGAGCTCCACTGTCCCCAGCCGTGACTAGCCATTCTGTCCCCGAAGGCAAGATGAATTCGAGGAACTTCAGGACAAGGAAACCTCCTGCCACCTGCACAGGTCGGGCCACAATGCCACGCATAGGAGGTACACGTGCCACATGGCCTTGGCTCAGTTCGCGCCCGATGATATTTTCACCGTCAGCGCGATGGACCAGTCTAGCAACAGCTCCCAAGAGTGTGGCCACTTTGTCCTGGCTGAAAGCAGTGAGTACCATGAACCCTGGCTGAGGAGGAGGAGGAGGAGCCAGACCTTTCTCTTCTCAGCCCACCAAAATCGACTTTCCTTGCAATGTCCTTTTCAGACACAGTGCTTCTAACTAAGGGGTGATGGTTTGACGTGGGATTTGGGCTAAATGCCCAAGAGGAAGAGGAGCAGCAGAGGCTTAGAAAGGTGTGGGGCGGGCCCCAGCTCAGCCCTCCTTGTCTGCCTGACCCTGGACAAGGAACACCTTGTCAAGGCCCTTTAAGCATGACTCCCTAGGATTCTGTTCCCAGTAATGAGCATCTATCAGCTGACATGGAATCCTCCTAGCTGGATGGGAGGGGCCTAAGGTTAGGAGGATCCCAGGATGGACCTGGCTGTCGCTGGCCTTCTGCAGAGTCTAGGCTCTGCTAAAGATGGGGCCGGTACCTCACAGATACGTAAATATACACAGATACCACACTCTGCCGTGTGCCAAAACTGCCACCCCAGATCCCTTCTTTGTCCAGCCTAGGCTCTACAGAAGGCAAAAGAATCCAGTAGGTACCTTGCTTAAAAAGTTTCTGCACTAGGGACTAACATTAAACTGTAAGAAACTTCCCCTCAGCTGTCTGGATTTCCAGCTTTTGCTTTTTGCTTCTCTTTTGCTTCCACTAAGAAGCACAGAGGATCTTGGTCTGTATGCCTGTCCCCAGCTGGCCTGGGCTGAGCCTGAGTCCTGACTTTAGCCTTTAAGCCTGGGAGTGTTCTCTTTTTCCTACGTTCCCCATCGCCTGCCTGCAGCTGACTATTCACCCTGATCTAGGCCAGGAGAACAGGGGCTGAAGCCAGGGAGTGTTTTGTTCAAAGTCACCCAGGGCCCTTGGGGAGTGTCAGGAGGGACTCTGCTCACTGCAGATTCTTACCCTGTTTCGTCTTTCTGGGTCTTCCTTCAAGTCAAGCCAGCTCCCCCTTTCAATGTGACCGTGACCTTCTCAGGACGCTATCATATCTCCTGGCATTCAGATTATGAAGAAGCCTCTGGCTACATGCTGAGGGGCAAACTACAGTATGAGCTGCAGTATCGGAACCTCGGAGACCCCTATGCTGTGGTGAGGTGCCAGGGCTTTGGGGTGGGGAGCTACAGGGGTGCCCAGGGAGGTCCCAGCACAGTGGGCAAGGAACAGGACTTAGCATTCCCTCCAGCATGCAACCCTCGCACACCTCACTACATCTCCTTGACTCCTCCCCTCCAGCCCACCTTGGAGTTACAGTGGGGCAAGTTTGGGGACATTCACCTACTTTGAGTGTGAAGGCTACTTAAGAGTGCACAGCTGGGAGGGTCCAGACTGGCCCACTGTTTAGACAGAGCTTCAGGCTTCTAGAATTATACATCTATTAGAATGGTCCTGGTTGAAGATTTCCATTAAGGGCATCATCTGGAATATTCCCAGGGAGACATTTATAGCCATCCCTCGAAAAGATGACTGTGATTAGGGACTTCCAAAAAGGTCCATTCTTGAGCATGTCCTATGTTATCTGAGGCAGGGAGCCCAAGGCCTCAGTGTCTACGAAGCTTCTGGTTAGTGACATACAGGAGTGTCCGTGGTTGCTCCCAGGACATTGCCAGTTGGGGGTTGGTCCACAGGGAAGGAGCTTCCCTGCCACAGGGAAGGAGCTCTTTGTCTAGGCAGCTTTAGTCAGGGATGCACAATTCCCGCAGTGCCTGCCTGGTGAAACTCCAGTAGAAGGACCTTGTACTCCACTGATGGCCTGAGAGACTACAGAGTGTCATGTTCCTTCCGCCCTGGCAGAGGCCGGTGACCAAGCTGATCTCAGTGGACTCAAGTACCATTTCCCTTCTCCCTGAAGAATTCCACAAAGACTCTAGCTACCAGCTGCAGGTGCGGGCAGCACCCCATCCAGGTACTACATTCAGAGGGACCTGGAGTGAGTGGAGTGACCCGGTCATCTTTCAGACCCAGACTGAGGGTAAGTGGGATGCAGGTAGGACACCCCACTCCGGGTACTTAATCTTGTCCTGACACAGCTTCGCAAGCCCTGAGATTCCCAGCATGGCTGGGAGACGCGTGCCTAGTTATTCATCCCTAGATGCAGCCATTCATCATTGTGAGGGAGCTGCTTCTTCTGATGGTGATGTGATTGATTCCTAACTTTGAAGGGAAAATCATTACCCCGTTTTACAGAACAGGAAACTGAGGCTTAGATGACATCACTTGATTGGGATGAGAATAAAATGCCTGATATAATCAACCGAATAGAATAAAGGGGTTATTTTAGCTTATGGTTTCAGAGGATTTGGCCCCTGATTGAAGGCCCTGTTGCATTGTGGGGAGCCTATGAGACTGCTTGCAGCATTGTAGTCAGGACACAAAGATGGGGAAAGGGCTGCAATGAGGATATCCTTTTAGTGTGTCTCTAATGGTCTAACCTCCTCCCACTAGGCCCTGACTCCTGAAGGTCCTGCCATCTCTCAATAGCATCCCAGGCTGGGGCCACACCTCTGACATAGGAGCCTTTGGGGGAGGGGATCACTTCACACTCAAACTCCGAAGGGGGGGGTCAGAACCCAGCTTCCTCTAGCCCTCCACCCAACCCCACATCCCCAGCACAGCACATCCACCCACGTACTTCTGGGAGACTTTTCTGTTGGACCCACAGTTTGTTTTCCATGCAGAGCCCAAGGCAAACTTGGACCCTCAACTGCTGCTGCTCCTCCTGGTTGTCTTGACCCCTGTCCTGGTTTTCATGGGTCTGAAGATCCACATGCCTTGGAGGTGAGGCCAGGGGCTCAGGGAGGCAGAGAAGGGGTCATCCGGGGCTACAGCCTCTCCAACCAAGACTTACTCTGGGCAGGGAACTTGGAGTAGTGACACTAACGCGTGTTCCGTGTGTTAGACACTGTGCAGAGCTCCTGCCCCAGCAACTCGGCTGCCCTGTGAGCTCGGCACACTGTAGACACCCTAGCTCTTCAATCAGGAAAAAACGAAAGCACAGAGCAGTCAAGCTGCCGGCCTAAAGTTCACACAGCTATGAAGCGGCTAGGGTGGGGTGGAAACTTCATGTTCTCCATGGGGACCTTGGCTGGGACCTCCTCCAGGCAATGAGCTTATCCCTCCCCATCCCTCTGTCTCCGCTGGAGGGTGGGCTGCCATCCGCTTTGCATCCAGAGATCCTGCTCTGCATGCCCTCGAGAGAGAGCAGGCCTCGGCTTCACAACAGAACGTACCCCCCTGGCAGAGGTGCTGTGGCAGGCTGCTAGGCGCCGAGCCCTTTGCTAAGCGACAGGGTGGAGCTCTGGGCACCCCGCTCATTTTGTTCGCCTCAACGGGATGCTCAGAGATGGGTCCAGAGAACCTGGAAGGGAGAGCTCAGGCTGCCAGTAACAGCTGCCAGTGGCAGCATGGTCCTTTTTGCCCCCACAATGGTAGATCAGGAAGTCAAGGCCCCAGAGGGCAGCATGTGCCTAGCCCACAATAGATGGCAGAGGCAGGAACTTGAGCAGCTGCAGGAAGCTTGGGGGCGAGGGTGACTGCTGCTTCCGTTTCACTGATGGGTGGGCAGGAAGGCAGTAGGGGCTGTTGCTTCTGTAGGAGAGACAGCCTACTTGTTGCCACAGGGCTTTAGCCACACTCTTTATTTGCAGGCTGTGGAAGAAGATATGGGCACCAGTGCCCAGTCCTGAGAGTTTCTTCCAGCCCCTCTATGGGGAACACAGCGGGAACTTCAAGGTGAGCCACCTTGGATGCACCCTCTGGATTGTTTGCCCTTTGGGGGATCCCTACCAACCCTCACCCTAACTCCAAGACCATTCTGTGAGCCCAGAGTATTCAGGCCCAACCTGGCCTAGAACCAGTCCTCAGTTTCTCTATTCTTCAAGGTGCAGAATTGGTCTGTGACTCAGACATCAAGGTGTATTTCTGGCTTAGGGTTACAGTGAAAGCGGATAAACTGGGTGGTTCTGGGGGCATGCTCTGGGTGCCTGGGATTTCCTGTGGTGGCCTTGATCTGTGGCGGGGAGCAAATCTTGCCTGGGAAGGCCCTGCCCTACCCCACAACACATCCTTCTCCATGCCAAGTGCAGCCACCACTACAGTTATTTCAGAGCGTCTGCCCAGCACTGCCGCACAAACCCAGCAAGGCAGGAGGTACTGCTGAGAGAATGTGCTGTCAGGATAGGGGACAGCCTCCTGCAGCAGCCCATGGAGGTCAGAGCTGCAGGGCACCCGAGGAACACGTGCTGTGTGCCTGCCCTGTGCCCCCATCTTTCCTACCGTGGGTTCCTAGCAACTCTGGTCTGGAGAAAACATAGTCTTAGAGTGGACAGTGGGCATTTCAGAGCAGGGAAGAAGCGTGCCCACACCCCTTCCTTAACCCCGAAACCCAACACTGCTGCCTGCTGCGCTGTGTGTGCTGACGTTGCTGTTATTCTTGTATGACATGCACTGTCCACAAGTAAACATTACCTCACTCAATCCTTAAGACACTGGGTCCTCTTCTCCATGGATGAGGGAAGTGAGACAGAGAGGGCAAAGTTCCACCTCAAGGCCACACAGCGAAGGAGTGACTCCAGGTCAGGGGTAGGGGAACGCTGTGGTTCTGAGATTTTTGGGTTTTGAGGGGACCTTCTCAGAACTGGGGTTCCACTCTACAGAGTGACCTCTGCCAAGGCAATGGAGGCTTTCTTATCATGAGGCCATATCCTGGCAGGCAAGGGGCAAGAGGGTCCTCAGGACTTCAGGGCCACTGTCTCAGTCCAGCGTCCCCCAAAGACCTTTCCACATAGCTTGTTACTGATTCATTTTAGCCATAAACATTTCTGGTGCATCTACTGTGTGCCGGATACTGAGGGCACAGCTGTGAGCAGGGCTTGCTCCTGGCTGAATGTTCGCTCTAGTGTTGACACACAAGCAAAACTAGAGGCTTTGGGAAGTATCAGGAGACAGGGTAGGGGCTGGGCCACCTAGTCCTCAAGAGCTTGTTTAACTATAGTGGAAATGAGACTGAGGGCAGCCAGCCCTTCCTGAAGGTGAAGACAAAGGCTCTCAAAGATAAGAACAGGATTGGGGACTCACTGGACAGGGTTCATCATGGTCTTGTCTGTCTCTCTGTGTTGGTTTCTTGTTCCTCTGCTTTCCCCGTCTCTGGCTTGTTTCTGTGTTCCAGATTCCACCAATCTCTAGCTTTGTCCTTTCACACCCAGCTTACGACTCTGTTTCTTTCTCATAGAAATGGGTGGATACCCCTTTCACGGCCTCCAGCCTGGAGCTGGCACCTCGGAGTCCCACAGCAACCCCAGTCCTACATCTGTCATCAAACCCAGCCAAGGGGAAGAAGTCCCTGGGCCTGGAAGAACAGCTGGAATGTGACGGAATGTCTGAGCCTGGCCACTGGCCCACAGTCCCCTCGGCAGAGACACCCTACAGTGAGGAGAGAGACCGACCATATGGTCTGGTGTCCATTGACACAGTGACGGTGGGGGATGCAGAGGGCCTGTGTGTCTGGCCCTGTAGCTGTGAGGATGATGGTTACCCAGCCCTGAACCTGGATGCTGGCCCAGAGTCTGTCCCCGGTGCAAAGGATCTGCTCTTGGTCGCGGGCACTGCTTTTCTGTCCTGCGGCTGTGTCTCGGGTGGGGGCCTCAGGCTGGGAGGCTCCCCAGGCGGCCTCCTGGACAGGCTGAGGCTGCCCCTTGCCGAGGAAGGGGACTGGACAGCAGAGCCACCCTGGAGAACTGGGTGCCCAGGAGGGGGCTCTCAGAGTGAAGCAGGCTCACCGCCCGGCCTGGACATGGACACTTTCGACAGCGGCTTTGCAGGTTCAGACTGTGGCAGCCCTGTGGAGAGTGATGAAGGGCCCCCTCGCAGCTATCTCCGCCAGTGGGTGGTCAGGACCCCTTCCCCTGAGGACAGTGGAGCCCAGGGCAGCTAGCATACAGTAAGCAGATGTAATGAGAAGAGGCCAGAATCCTGTGGTCTCTGGGTGTGCCTCTGAGCCTGACATTTACAGCGTGAATGTGTAGGGGTGTGTGTGTGTGTGTGTGTATGTTCATGTGTGGCTTGGGTGTTCACTGGTACCTCCATTTGTGAGCAATGCCTGTGCGTGCTCTGTGTTCACTGTCACGCCTGTGTGTCTTGCCTGATCTCACGTGTGTATGAATGAATGTAGGTGTTTCTTAGACACAAGCCTCTGAGTCCTCCCCTGCACACATGTGGGGTAGTCACCATGTCAAAGGATTGGTCCAGATTGCTGCCCCAGCATACTATCACCAAGCCCAACCCTACCAGGTGCCACCTCCAGGACCTATGAAATCCTCGCTGTTATCTTTTCTCTTCGTGAAGGGGATGGAGTAAGCTTTCAGTGTCCATTGGAGTGAGAAGATCTGGGGGGACCTGGGGATGTAGTTGGAAACTCCAGCTCTGGCGGCTCCAGGCTATGCAGCCTGGAGAAGCCGCTTCTGAACCTTGCTGACTTTGCCTGTCTGGCTATTAAGAAGGGCAGGACTGCCCTCGACAAGCCCTGTACAAGCTGAAGCCCATTTCAGCTTCTTGCCTTTTGTGGCTCCTAGGATCAGGCACATGCCTTGCGGTAGAAGGGCAGAAAGTCAGCCTACACCCACAGCCTGGGTACCTGTGGCATTGTCCTGCCAAGGGCGCTAAGCAGTTTCCAGCCTGTGAACACGGTCTGCTCTCTCAGAAGCAGTCCTGCCAACCAAGCTGGGTTTTTCTCTTGTTTGTTTTGTTTTTGTTTCTGGCTTCTGCTGCCTATTAAAAAAATAATTCTTGCTGGGTGGTGGCAGTGCACACCTTTAATCCCAGCACTGTGGGGGTGCAGGCAGGGAGAAAGGTGGATCTCTGTGAGTTCAAGGCCAGTCTGGTTGGTAGAATACAAAGTGAGTTCCAGGGCAGCCAAAACTACACAGAGAAACCCTGTCTCGATAAAGGAAAAGAAAAAAGATAGATAATTCTGCTAAGTACCCAGGAAATGTTTACCAAGAACCAGGCCCGGGGAAAGGGTACAGAGCACAGTGTCCACAGAACCCTCTGTATGATACCCACAGAGGGCAGGGCCACAAAGGAGCCATCCAGAACCTGCTCTGGGCACTCTGTGGCCAGTACCTGCTTTTCCCCTGCCTGCCCTGAGTGGGCATCTCTTGCATGCAAAGATTCTTGCAAGCCTGCTGTGTGAAGTACTGGGAGGTCCTGGGACACTCCATCCCAGACGCTAGTGCTGTTTAGGGAGTGTCAAGATTGCCTAGACCTTGCTGTCTTTTTCTTTCTTCTCTCCCTCCCTCATCCCTCCTCCCCTTCTTCCCTTCCTTTGTCCCTTTCTTCTTGAATGGTCTGTTCACCCTGCAAGGATGCACACCTGAGATGCGCTGTGGTATTTGCAAAACCAGGCAGGGCTGAGGCAACAGAAAGCCCAGCCCTGTTCCTGACCCTGTGGGATACCTCCGTAATGGCTGGGACTCCAGGGTGCAGAATCTCTCCTCAATGGCGCAGTCTGTCCAGACTGCAGAGCTGGGCTGGGAAGCAGTGAGCAGCAATCAGCTCATCTGTAAAGCAGGGATTCCTTGTGGAATCACCAAGGAATGCATGCATGTCCGTATGCGTGTCCTCTGTAACTGACTCAGGGCTGGGAAGTTCTGGAATACTGGCAGTTTCAACAGTGAGACTGAGCTGAACCTAGGACCAGGGTGTGAGAGGCTCAGACCAACCAAACCACAGCTCCTTTCCTGCACATGCATACAGCCCCACCCTGCAGCAGCCCAGACATTTAGACCAAAGCGTGCTGTGGTTTTCACATCCTCTGGGAGCCTCAGACTGCAGGTGTTCTTGGCAGCTCTCCAGGGAGCCAGTTCAGCCCCCACCAGTCCCCACCTGCAGAAAGAGCTCCTGACGAAGTGTAGACAGGAAGAACATTCGGGGCTGAGGAGCTGGCCCTCACCACTTCCATTTTGAAAGGACACCACTCATGAACAAACATGAATGCAAAGTCGGAGGCAAGACCTGGGCCACCTAGGATTAGCAGTGGGTAGATAGGATGATGGTGAAAGGCTTGAAGGGATGACAGCTGGATGGAGAGACAGAAACTCCGCTCAAGAGCTGGTAGACCAGATGCAGTCTTATGAAGCTAGTTGCTCTGTCTGCTCCTGGTTTTACCCCCAACCCTATACATAACAGGTGCTTAATAAAGTTTTAATAAAGCCTGGAGTATAGTCTGTCATTTCTAGGACCTCAGGCTGAGAACTGTAGACAAAGTTGGTGAGGGATGTCTTCTAGCCAGGAGGAGCTGGCGAGCTGCTGATGGGCACCCTGGGCACAGCCTGAGGGGGAGGCTTTAGGAAGTAGGTAGTGTTTGTCAGACACTGGGAAGTGAATAAGAAGTGTGACATGCATGTCTGTCTCAGTGAAGGCCTATGGCAGATGTGACCAAGAAGCAGGGAGCAAGTGAGGGCCATGGGTCCCCATCACCTAAGACCAGTTAAGAGTTGCTAAAAGGCTGCTCTGAAAGGAAGGCTTCACATCACACTTTTCAAAGAGAGCATGGCCAATGCTTGTCCAGGCTTTGCCTATCTTGGCTTTGAGGGGATGGGTTATCCCTTGGGCAGAATGAGCTGGACCTGTCTGAGATCCATCACCAAAGAAATCAAAGAGGCAAACCTCTTAGCAAACACCCATGGTAGCAAGCACCAACTCCCCTTACCCCCAACCCATGCTGCTGGGTAGTCAAGGCAGAGACTTCATACGCATCTGGGCTGAGCTGCTTCAGGCTTTAGTTTTTCTCTGTAGTGGTGCTGTGGCTAGAACCCAGGACCTCACAGGTGCTTGGCGGGTCCTCTACCATGGAGTTAGCATTTCTCAACTCCCTTTTACTTTTCCTATTCTGAGTTGGGGGTCTAAATTGCCCAGATTAGGCTCGAAATCTTGGTTTTCCTGCCCCCAGCTTCCAGATCCTCAGACCTACTGTTTTTCATCCTTTCACTTTGGGATTAGAGAGCTACCAGGAGGAAGCAAGCCTGGAGGGGAGTATAGCCTGGGGTGTACAGTGGGGACCAGCTGGCCTGAGGCGAAGACAGCACCACAAGCTGAGCGGTAGAAATCTTGTGGTTCCTGGATCAAGTCATGTATGTGGCGGTCACTGCGTGCCTGTTTCCAGCTTTTGGCCTTCTAGCTGTGTGAACTTCCCAGGCCCATGGGGTCATAGGAGATGCAAACAGAAGCAGGAATTTGTACTTTCTGAGGGAGAACACCTCTTGGGAGTCACAGTGCCTCCCAGTCATCTTCCTGAGCCATGGGCACTGGTGGTGATTGCGCTGGCCGGCTTTGGTTCTCCCTGCCCTGGGAGAGGACTATGATGGTATGAACTGTGAGGCAGAAATTAACTTTGTCACTTGCTGCGGCAGAGGTGTGACTGTTGTTACAGAGCACACCTCATCTTGTCCTGACCCAATGGACACTCCATAATATCTCCAATTGCTGCCTGGAGGCTGGTTTGAGGTGGGTTTCTTTTGCCCGTGGCAGAAAGCACTCCAGAATTATCCTAACAACTCAAAATGAAGAGACTTCTTCCACCCCGAAGGACCTCCTTGAGAGGAGAAGAGGGGGCTGGGGCCATGGCTCACAGTGCAGAGCTTGTGTGGCATTCAAGCCCTGAGGAAGCAGGATGAAAAAGGCCAGAGGCCAGGTCAGAGTTGCTTCCAGCTGTTTGTTTCTGGCCTCATGCTGAGCTGTTTGGCAGCAGGTATTGGGCATTAGAGGCTGGGGTGGGGGGGGCTCATCTGTGCTCCTAGCGCTCATTCTCTGTCCTCCCAGAGAGCTCTTGAAGCCTCTGCCTAGATCCCAGCAACTTGACCCCAATGTCTCCTGTGTATTCCCAGTGTGATGTGCTCTCCGGGGTCTCACGCAGGAAGGACACAAGGAGAAATAAGTCATCTCTCACCCTGGGAATGATGAACCTTGCCTCTCTGTGGCTGCAGCTTTTCGTGCAGGTGGGACAAGAAGCATGGACTCCTGATGACAAACTGGGGAGGGGACGTGCCCTGTCCAGAGCAGTGGGTCTCAACCTGTGGGTCCAGACCCCTTTGGGGAGCACATATCAGATAGCCTGTATATTCGGTTACAATTCATAACAGCAGCAAAAGTACAGCTATGAAGTAGCTAGCAATGAGGTGATTTTATGGTTGAGGGTCGCCACGAGGAATTATATTAAAGGGTAGCAGCACTGGGAAGGCTGAGGACCACTCATCTAGAGCCATCCATGTGCTCAGAGGTGTAAAGGCTAGAGGCCAGTTTGCACATCGTCTCAGTGTGACTAACTGCGGCAGGGTGCCTGGCTTTGCTCCCCAACAGACGTGTCTTAACAAAACTCTCCTTAGACTCTGGTTCCCCGGGTGTCCCTTTCAGAGCGACAAGGACTGAAGCTGCCGTGTCAGAGCCCAGATGGGGCAGAGCTCTGAACGGACGCTCAGCTATGTGAAGTGGAGGAACAGCATGTGGTTGGGGCACACTGCTCTCACAGGCCCTGCAAAGACACAGAAAGGGGGCGGGGTTCCCAGGAACCTCGTGGAGGCCAGGACTACCCACCTCTGAACCCCCAACCTGAGGGTCCTGCCCCCACTAATTCACACGTTTTTCTTTTCCCACTTGAAAATCCTCAATAGGAACCCTTGTCTGGTGCTCTTCAGTGAGCGAACACCCTCTCCGCATCATGCTGACTCTGTCCCTTCACCCCAGGTGCTGTGAGGGAGCGGAGGCGGGCAGCAGCAGCCTGGGAGGGAGACCATCGGGCCTGTCCTCCCACTAGCTTCCAACTTTGCAGGGGCCATTTTAACCTCATGGTCCTCAGCTTACCTATACATGAAATAGGCACGAGTCACGTGTGCCTCTCGAGGCTGCTGTGACATCAGCTCTCTGTGGTGTCCAGAATGGTGTCTGATGTGTATACAGGTGCTTACAGCAATGGCATTTTTACTGGAAGTCATGCGGGGGCCCGGGGAGGTTTCCCAGGTTGCT